GCTGAGAACCTGCAAGCTTTCCGTCCTCCCAAAGTGTCCTGATGCAGGCCGAAGCCTCGCTGCTATCCCCTAGCCCAATCTGAGCTCTCCAAGTGTCTGATCTGATTTTGGGTCTGAGCAGCAATAGACACTGTTAGACTCAGTTGCTGTCAGCCAGCTAATTAAGAGGGACAACACTTACCAGCTGTGTGACCCTGGGCAAGTCGTTTAACCCCAGTTGCCTAAAAATTACAAAATAAAAATAAAAATTAAAAAGAAGGGCAGAACTCTAGGTTTCCCTTTGGTCTGGGAGTCCTGGCCTGGTTGTTCCTCTGCAGGCTTCCAGCCAGGCTAGAAGCTAGAACCAAGACCCTGCTTTGCTCCTGGGGGGTGTGAGCCACACTGCTGCTGTTTACTGCTGGACTTGCTCCTCTCTCCTTACCCTGGGACACCACCCCTGGGTATAGATCCACTCTGGATCTCTGACCCAAGAAGCACAAAGCTTCCAGATCACAGCTATTCCTGTCACAGTGTTCCACTGTTAGTCTGAGGGTGCCCTGGGGTGGCTCTGGGACCTCCTCTTGCCCTAGTGCACAGCCTTTTCCTGAGTACTAGAATACTTTGTGTAGCCACTCTGGGCCAGACCCTGTCCCCTGTGTCCACAGACCTTATTATCTGTCTCCCTGTGCCAACCTGGGCTGGAAAATGGCTCTCTGTGACTTTTTTCCCCTTAGATTTTCTCATCACGATTTGGTCTAATGCATTTTTTAGATCTGTTTGGAAGAGGGTTTTTTGAGGGGAGAAGGGAAGCTTATTGTATTACTTCCTATTACTCTACCATCATGGTTCTACCTAGCCCATGTATCTTTCCAATCCATGCCCTTTGGGCCACCTAGAGATCTGTTGTACTGAGATTGTCGTGTTTCATTACTCTTAGCCAGGCGTAGCTTGTCTGTGGGGAGAAATGGTGTGAAAATTAAATTTAGGTCTACAGTCATCTTCTATATGTGAGGCACTGATACAAAGACAAAAACAGCCCCTGACCTCAAGAAACTTGTCCCCTCCTGGGTGTGGATACGGGGGAGGGGAGGAGAGGAGGTGGTAGCCATGCCTTTGGGGCAGGGATGAATTCAGGATCATTGAAAGCACTGCACAGTTTCCCAAATGTGATTTAGCCTTACCCCTTCGTCCTGCTAAACTCTGGGCCTGCTGTTGCTTTTCTGTGGCATCTCCTAAAGACACAAGTGCTGGCGACTTCAGAGCACTGCCATCCAGCTGAAGTCTTCCTTCACCTGCTTTTCCCATGTGATCTGCTAAAGGTTCCTCGAGGAGACCCTGTCCTGTTCTGGGGCTCAGTGCAGTCATTGCCATGTCATCCACAAGAGCTCACCTCTCCGCAGGATCTCCTCCACGACAGAGGCAAACGTTGTTGGCAGACATCTGACTCCCTCCGTAGGTGTCACCTAAAATTGATACTCACAGGATCATTGGATGAATGATCTCTATGGATGCATTTATTTTTTTAAAAATAATTTATTTTGAGTTTTCAACATTCACTTCCATAAGATCTTGAGTTTTAAATTTTCTCCCTCTCCTCTCCTCCATTCTCCCCTCCCTAAGATGGTGTGCAATTTGATATAGGCTTCACTTACACATTCACATTAAGCATATTTTCACATTACTCATGATGTAAAGAACAATTAGAACTAATAGGAGGAACCATGAGAAAGAAGAAACAAAACAACAAAAGAAAAGGAGAGCAAATACTCTGCTTCCATCTGCATTCAGACTCCATAGTTCTTTCCCTGAATGTGGAGAGCATTTTCCATCATGAGTCTTTTGGACTTGTCTAAGATCCTTGAATTGCTGAGAAGAGCAAAGTCTGTCAAAGTCAGTCACTGAACAATGTGGCTGTTACTGTGTGCAGTGTTCTCCTGGTTCTGCTCATTTCATTCAGCATCAGTCCCTACAAGTCTTTCCAGGTTTTTCTGAAGTCTGCCTGCTCATCATTTTTTTATAGCACAATAGTATTCCATTACATTCATATACCACAACTTGTCCAGCCATTCCTCAATTGATGGGCATCCTCTCCATTTCCAATTCTTTGCCACCACAGAAAGAGCTGCTATAAATATTTTTGTACATGTGGGTCCTTTTCTTGTTTCTCTTTGGGATGGAGACCTAGAAGTGCTATTGCTGGGTGAAAGGATATACACAGTCATATAGCCCTTTGGGCATAGAACCAAATTACTCTCCAGAATGGTTGGATCAGTGTACAACTCCACCAACAATGCATCAATGTTCCAGTTTTCCCACATCTTCTCCAACATTTACCATTTTCCTGTTTTGTCATGTTAGCCAGTCTGATAGTGTATGTGGTACCTCAGAGTTGTTTTGATTTGCATTTCTCTAATCAGTGGTGATTTAGAGCATTTTTTCATGTGACTTTGATAGCTCTGATTTCTTCCTCTGAAAACTGCCTGTTCATATCCTTCGACCATTTATTGTATATGTGTTTATTGTAGAAACCATGACGTTGACATGGGGTGGGGTGGGAGTGGGATAGGGCTAAGGCCAAGTTTCGCTTTACCAAGTCAAATACTTTTGTAGTCAACAACAATAAAGACGGTGGGACCTTACATTCTTTTTTTTTTTTTTTTGGCTAGGCAGTGGGGTTAAGTGACTTGCCCAGGGTCACACAGCTAGTTAAGTGTTATGTGTCTGAGGCCGGATTTGTACTCAGGTCCTCCTGAATCCAGGGCCGGTGCTCTCTCCACTGCACCACCTAGCTGCCCTGGGACCTTACATTCTTTACATGCCTCTGTGGCTGTGGTTATTATTGGCAAGCTCCTTCTAGCTCCCTTCTGGGGCTTTCACCAGGACCCTGGAGGCAGGCACAGACCATCCTCACTAGACTGGAGAAGAGGTAAGAAGGATGGACTGGGCTGGGGACTGCTGGTGTTCTCTCAGTTAACCTTTGGAGGGACTAGTGCTGTCTGCCGTTATTTCTGTCCTTTCAGAATCTTCACCACTTAACGTGTCAAAAATTGACCACTGAATGCCTTAAATATTGTCACCTCAATGATGATGGTAACTCATTTCTATGATGCTTTGTGGTTTTAAAATGTATTTTGTATGTATTTCATTTGATTCTCCCTACAACTCTGTGAGATGTATAAAGGTTATAGTCTTTATCTTACTGATAGAGAAACTGAGGCCGCATGAGGTTGGTAAGTGACTTGCCCAGGGTTATACAGCTGTCAGTGACAGAGGCTGATTCTCTGTGCTGCTCTTGCCTTTTTATCAAATGCAAGTGGAAGTGTTCTGTAAACTCCAAACTGTTATAACAAATAGAAATTGTTGATGTAATTTTCATCATCGTTCCCATTCATCTTTTAGTAGTCAGGTAGTCCAGAGGTTCTGCTGTAAATGTCTACATATAGGATAACTGCCACACCTTGGTGCAGTCACTTCTTCCTTTCATTTCTTTTGTGGGGAAGAACACACACACACACATACACACACACACACACACACACACACACTTTATGCACGTGAAGGAAAGAAGCAGGCCTTGCCCACACTCTGGCTTTCAGTCCCTTGACATCTGGCTGCTCGTTCATCTCCCAGGTGCCCCAACAGACTGATGCTTCCTCGGAGGATTTAGATTGAGCCTTTAAAAGATCTACAGAGGAATAAGGTGGTTTCAAGCTGCCACCTGGCAGACCCTCCTCCCTGCCTGCTCCCTCTTCCTTTGGGTAGGAGCTCTGTGTGTCTGACTGAGAGGGAACGAGGCACTGCCCCTCGGAGTTGGCCTTTGATCCTGCGGCTTCTGAAGCTCGGTGCCCAAACCACAAGTTCAACCCACCAAGCCACAGAAGCGGCAGTGTCTAATGTAAGGTTCTCACAGTAGAGAAGCAAAAGCTCTCACAGGGGACCCTGGGATGTCAGTAAGATCTGCCTCCTCCTCCTGCCTTCCTTTTTTACCACCATCCCCCCTCTATGCCCCTGAGATTAGGGCAGTCAGCACAAACCTAGCAAAGATGGGGAAAAATGAGGTGGCGACCTGGACCCCCCAAAGTTCAAGGTCCAAGACCCTGACAAGGTGAGGGTTGTTACTCCATGTGGGCCTCTCTTCATCTGCACCTAGCAGTCAAAGTGAGACTCTAAAATGATTTACTTTGGATAAAACTGAATGTTTCCTCCCGCCTGTGGAAGTAACTTGTTCCTAAAATTATCCCAGGACTTCAAACCCAGGTCAGAGAAACCATTTCATCTGCCCATTTAGCATATTACCAATAAATGGCTAGTGTTTCAGACAGCTTGATCTGTGGCAAGGCTGTCTCTAAAGCAGGCGGCTTGGGAAGGGAGACTTCCAAGGTCCTGCCTTCCTTTCCTTTCCTGTCTTTCTTTCCTCCTTTCTCTTTTCACCCTCCCCTTCTCTCACCATAGGGCCAAGTATGACTAATAGCTCACGCGTGTCTTTCTTTAAGAGCAGCAAGCAGTGAACAAGCTGGGAGCCGGGGGCTAACGAACACTGAGCCCCACACGGGCCTTTGGAGCCCCCAAGGCTCAGTAAGAACCCACACTCATTTATGAAGTTCCTGCCACGCCATGCCAGACCCTGGCCTACGTGGGGGAGCGGGGCTAGGGAGGGGGAATACGCTCTCTGCTTCGAGGATCTTGTGGTCTACTCGGGGGTCACGACATATATGTTCCCATGTTCCCATCAGCTTCTCTTGGGGGTGGGGCACTGGGATTCTTTGGGGACCGCTCCAGCTGCTCACCCCAGCTGGGCCTGGAGGGGGTTGGAGGGGATCCGCAGCCCCCAGGGTTACCTGAGGGGCTTTTCTTGGGGGCTCTGCGTTAGGGCCCCGCGCGTGGCAGCAGCCCACCTGGCTGTTCACAGACCTCAATTCTTTTACATTCACAAGCAGATCAAAACCATGCGCTGCCGGGACCTGTTTTCCTCTCTCCCCCACCCATGATCCCCTTCTGGACACTTTTTCTTTTCCCTCCAGATCACTTCAAACGAGAAGCACTTGGAGAGCCTGAAGAAGGATGGCGCTGCGCTTATCCGCTCGCTGGAGGCCTTGGCCCCACCCAGCAGGTGAGGCCCCTGGGGCTTTCAGGAATTTCCAGGCGCTCAGGCTGCGGCCTCTGGGCGCCCCAGGCCTCCAAAGGGGGCCTCCTGAGCAGTCTGCCTTTTATTGTAGCTGCGGCAACAGACTTTGATCTTCCAGGGAAAGAACGAGGAGGGGTGGGGTGGGGTGGGGGAGAGAGTCTACCAGATCCAGCAGCAAGGCCCCGAATGCCCCAGGCCCAGCACTTGGGCTGCAAGCTCTGCTTGGGGTGCCAGGCAAGTGAAATGGCCTTTCAGGGGTCAAGACAAGAAGACCACAAGCCCCTGTTTCCTTCCACATCTTCTGAGGTGGATCTCCCTTCTTACTGACTTCTGGTGAGGGATTTACTGGCTGGTGGTTCTTCCCTTGCTTCTGCCATGGTAAATGGAGTGGGCTTCCATGGGCTCCACCGCCCCTCTTCCAGACCCCACCAAGCTACACACATGCCTTAAACAAAGCGGGCACGTTGGAGAGCCCTGTCCCATGTGATGGCAGCAGAGCACCCAGCACCTTCACCGAGCTCTCAGACTTTGCCAGAGAACTCCAGGGCTCACTCTAACTCACGGCCTGAAAGTTTCAATGACCTCTGGTTATCTGTCCTGTTCCTGCCACAGAATCCTAGTTCATGCCTGGGAGTGGGGGTGGGGACAAGATCTGCAAACCCTTGCCATGAACTTATGATACTGTGGCATTTAGACTTGAACTCTCAATCCCTGGGCACCAGGGACGACAGATCTGCTCAGTCCTCCCTTTAACATCTTCTTCCTAAACATTTGCAGCCCAGACTAACCTGTGCCTAGCAGGTCTGAACTCTGAAGGAGTTATCTCAGCTTGGAGGTCTCTGGAACCCTAAGGAAGTTCAGGGGATGATCCCAGGGTTTGCTTCTAGTTAAATTTGTGGGATAAATCCACTCCACCCATCACAGACTGCTTACCGTGGACCATTTGACCACCTGTGTGCACGGCACCGTGCACGATCCCCTCCAAGCCTGTGCTTACACCCTCCAATAGACCGGCAGAGTCTAAGTACTGCTAGACTGTGTGAACCGTGAGGACAAGAATCTGGCCGATCTAAACTCTGAGTTTCCTTTTTCTAGCGCCTAACGACATGCACTGAAGGCGTTTAATTAATATTTGCTGAATGGATCAGTGCTCTGTGCAGTTCCCTATTCGTACCTGTTGAAATCATGGCCATCCTTCAACACCAAACTCAGATGCCATCGAGCAGTTTGAATTGAACGATGAGGCTGGAGGCCATATTGGAAAGAACAGAGAAGTGAGTCTACAGGAGAGAAAAGGGGGATAACAGGCAGGGCAAGCGTTTTTCTTAGGAACTTGTCAAAGAAAAGAAGACAGCGTTAGGGCACAGTAGGGTCAAGTCCAAGGATTCTTTGTTTTTTTGTTTTTTCCTAAGGATGAGGAAGGCATAGATGTGTTTGTGGGCATCAGGGAAGGAGCCAATAGCTAGGGAGAGGCTGAAGGGGAGAGAGATGGATGATTGAGGGGGTCAAGAAGTATTTATTAAGCACTTACTGCATGCCAGGAGCAATACTAAAGAGTTGAGAATACAATCAGCAAGATAGCCCCTGTCCTCAAGGAGCTTACATTCTAACAGAGGGAAGACAACACAAGAAAGAAAGCTGAAGGGGGAAGGAAAGGGATCTGAGTGGGTGGGGCACAGTGGAGAAAGACAGCCAGAGAGAAAGGAAGGACGGACCGTTTGGGCCTTTCTGTGTGCCCTGTGCCTAGCTTAGTGCCCCACACGTTGCAGTAAGTATTCATTGACCAGGAAGAGTGGGAAACATTTGATGATGACAGCACAAAGTCCTCTGTCAAGTGTACACACACACACACACACACACACACACACACACACACACACACACACACGCACGCACGCCCCCAGACTGGGCACCGACACTTCCAAACCTTCTTGGTTTTGTTGACCGTGTGGCTTCTCCTCCTCAGTGAGGCAGCAGCCTCCCCACCCCGTTTTATGTTCAGACATCTCGTGTTCCAGGTTATATAAGGTGGGAACACAAGTAGGAGAGTCCCAGCTTCCTCATATGTAAAAGGAGGGCACTGGGCTGGATTGATAATTTCTAAGGTCCCTTCCGGTGCTAAATTCTAAAATCTTAACTCATTTTAAAAGCATCTTCTTCACAGCCTTGTGAGTCGGGTAATGCATTTATCATTTTTAGCCCCATTTTGTAGATGAAGAACTAAAGCTTAAGAGAGTTTACACCCTAATTCATCTACCATCTCCAAGCCTTTGTGTGAGATGTCTGCCATGTTTGGAATGCCCTCCTACTCTGGCTCCCACCATGTGGAGTCCACCCCCAGCCCTTCCCGTTCATGCCCCCTCCTCCAGAGGCCTCTCTGGATTCCGCTTTAGTGAGTATGTGGTACTAATCAGTGCAGAGATAGTTTCCTCACAAGTAGAAGGCAAGGTCTTTGAGGGCAGGGACTGTGTATTTTGTTGCTGAATCCCAAGGCCTAACACTGCTTGGCTGAGGGCCCTCACTCACTAAATACTTGTTAAATTACACTGAAGTGATGTGCCCTCACCTCTTCTGACCCCCAGGTATCACACTCTTCCCTTCATGCCTTCCTTACCACCTCTCAGGTGACTCAATACTTTCTTGCTAGTTATATGTTGTGGAAGTTTATTTAAAATTCAGAATTATCCTGTTAAATGCGCTTTCCTGAATTTTTTTAATGAAAAGGACAGTCATATGAAGAAAATGGTTTTTATTGTACCCAGTTGAGTGCAGTTTCTCACCAGGTAACGCAAACCACTTTCCAGACAGATGCAAGAAAAACGTGTTGCGGGCATATCCTACATACTGAACACTGAGTGCAGGGGGCTGGAGAGGGGAATGGAAGAGGATACTACTGCTGTGGCTTTACTGCACCGCCCCCTCCAGTAGATGACCTATGTAGAGTATGATGGTTTAAAGATCACCAAGTGCTTTACGTACTCAATTACCTTGTTTGAGTGTAGGGGCCCCATCTGCATGCAGCTGACAATATAGCGGGAAGAGAAGTCTTGCGTACCTACACTAGGCCAAGACATGGGCTGGCAGAGATCAGAGAAGAATAGAGGACAGAGGAGGGGATCAAGACGTGACGTGCAGGGTATGTCTGAAGTGAGCCTTGAGGAAGGGCAAAGAGCATGAGGTGCCAGAGTGGGAACAGTGCAACAAATGACTCGCAGGCCAGGTTAGAGGAAGTGCAGTGTGGCTGAGAATTGTGGACATTCATGTTGAAATTGAACAATGAGATGAAGTGTGTGAGAAAACAGGAATTGTTTCATTTTGTTTTTCCAAAGTAAGGGAAGAGGCAGAAGGAAGACCGGTCATGGAGGTCCTTGAATGGCGGGCTAAGGGGATGTGGACAGAGGCTTGGTGTCCCCAGCACACTGTAGGCACTTAATATTCATGGGATTTTTGAATATGGTAATGACTGGGTGAAGGAGTACTTTAGGGAAATTTATCTGGAGGACATCGATAAGAGAACAGAGACCAGGTGACCAGGAGGAGAAAAGAGATCTCAGACTAACGTGGCAACTGTAGACATGGGAAAGAGTCAGGAGGAATGCTCATTCCACTTGCAGGTCTTTCCAAGGAAGGGCTCTGGATGAGCTGAAATGATCTGATCTACGATTCTCTAGCTCCTGGCTGAATGGGAGCAGCAAGGGGACCAGAGTAAGCCCGGCATGGGCAGTGCCAACCTCACCAAAATGTCTTCCCCAGGGTGCTCATGGGATCTCCCGGCTTCCTGCTGCAGGCACACTAACCAAATATGTCTGTAAGCTATGTTCCAGTGCATTCCTGCTGCCTCTCAGGAACTCTGATAAGTGGAGCAAGAATGCCAGCTGCCTTTTCTTGTGCCATCGCCCTTCCCATTCACCTCCCCGCCAGACCCCTTGTGCTGCCTGGGGGCCCTTTGGTGCACTGTGTGAACAGCGCTATTTCTGACTAGCTGGGGGGCCCAGACTAATTTTATACTTCAAGAGTTCCTGCCATTTGATCTTCATCCTTTCTTTGATAACAGTTGTCAAGGCACGGGTTTGAATCTGTTTCAAACAATGTGCTCAAATAACGAAGTTTCCATTTTAATCTGCTAATCACCAATCAACACCTCCGGGGGGGTGGGGAGGCGAGAGGCCCCAGAGTCCTTAGGGACTGTCAGGAAGCCACTGGAGCCAGCCCTCCAGCAGATGGAGATCAGAGGAGGAGGTTCCTTTGGTTTGGTTTTCTCAGAAGCTGAATTGGGGCAGGAGACCTGCAGACAGAGCCAGGCGAGGCTCCATGGGTCCTGAGCTCCCCATGGCAGCCCTTCAGCCATTGAAATAAAAGCATAGACGTCAGGCTGCCTCAGAGCCCTTGACAGGCCGGGGTGCTGGACAACCCTGTGGTCAGCCTCACACAGCCAGCAGCAAAGAAGGATGATGGGTTATGTTCTCACACACCCTCTCCTCTCTGCTCACACATTCCTGATCTGCTGCTGCAGGTTATGGAGCTATGTTTTACATAGGAAGCCCTTGGGGTCAGCCCATCAGGCACCCTGGACAAGACTGAACACGGAAGGAAAGCAGGAGAACTAGAACTGACTGACTTGGAATATGCTTAATCAAGTCTTTTTTTTTTCCTCCCACAGCCCCCAGGACAACACTGTTGTTTCTTTGGCTAAAGAAATTCTCGAAATAGCTGGACACCAGAAATGAAGGCAGCCAGGAGGGTCACCCAACAGCACCAGCCCCCTGGGCCTGGAGGAGGAAGACCCACCCCTCTGATCCTGGGGGGCATTTCCCTGAATTCACCAGCATCTGCTTTCAGTGGCCTACAGTCATCTCTTTGCCTCTCTGGGCCATCAAGGATGGGTTCACTGTTTTGCTCATTTTTTTTTTAAAGGGAAAGTAGAGTCATCTACATAGTCACCCTTAAGGGCCACTTTGGTGTTGTAGACCCCCTGAACTATACAAGCAAATAAAGAGTTGGGTCATCAGTGGCATCCCCCAGCACACAGTGTCTGAAATCTTCCTTCCTTCCCTGGGGAAAGGTGCCAAAGGCAGGATCAGGCAGCTTCTGCTCCCCAGAAGGCCTTTTGAAGCTGGCTGGAGCCTCTAATCTCTTTCTCCCACTTCACCTGCCCACCTTGTTTTTCTTTCTGGGATAAAGAGATTCCATGAATCCTGGGGAGTGCAGTGTTAAGACTCTACTGAAATGCAAAGATAGGTACAAGTTTGCCTAGAGGAAAGCAAAACCTTGCTTTGTTCTGCCCTGAAATGTCAGCAAGCACACTACTGGAGTGCACGCATGTGCGTACGTACACACACACACACACACACACTGCTGGGAATGGTATGATGAGAGGCATGGGCCTGGGCAAAGGGCCACTTTGGTGTGGTGGGATGGACACTGCTCCTCTTATCTCTGTCACTGAATTGCTATGTGATCATGGACAAGCCCCTTCCCCAGACGTGGTTCCTCATCTGTAAAAGTAAAATGTTGGACTAAATGATCATTATGGTACTTCCTAGTTTTAAGTTAGATCATAAGCTTTCACAAAAGAGGGAACTTTTCCTCTAAACTTAAAAATACTGTCTTTTAAATCAGTTGGAATTGCATATTCAGCACCCTCTCTACCTGCCCCACCACATGCTGGCTTCAACATTCCATTCACAATAGTGGCAGTGTGTGAGCAGTGGGATGGTAGAACGATTCAGAGGTCAGCACCTGGCCTTTTATTGGTGGGGGGGGGGGAAAGGGGAGCAATGCAGAACCAACACTAATTTCCCTACAAAAGAACTGCAGCTTGGGTAGCTGGCTAGTGACCCAGGGGTGTCTGGGATTGGAGGCCTTCAAAGAATGGTGTTGAGATTTTTCAGTTGCACTTGAGAGGAAGCTTTGCTGAGTAAGAGAAAATAATGTTAGTAAGTGAAAACTGGTATTTGAACCGAGCCAGAAAGTTCTGCTGGTGTGTGTGGACACATGAGGCAGAGGCAAGATTCTGAACCGAATCATGAGAAATATTGAGGAGGTGGAGCTGGACAGCTTCCCTGCTGCTGGTTTTTTTCTTCATGGTGATCCTGGTTCTAATAAAAAGCCATCTTTAGGATGATGCCATGTTTCTCATAGGCACCAAGGCTTGGCCACTCTTGGGCTTTCCTTACAACTCAGCAAGGGTGGAGCTCAGCAACTTAGATACAAAATGGAAAGCTTGGGGAAGAGTCAAAGTACAAAAAAGGTACAAGTAGGGTCCAAGTGGGCAAACTGCTACTTGGCCAGCAACAAATTCTGCCACTTTCCCCCATCCCCTTTCTCAGATTGTTTCTCCTTGCTCATCTACTCCCTGCCCTTTCCCTTTTCTGATGCTAGGCCCTTGTACCCACGGTGCAGTCTTCTTAGCTCTATAGATGCTCTGGAACCTGGAGCTAGGGGTGGGAGGGGGTTCAGCTAGAATTGCCAGAGGGCTTGCAGTTACTTAGGCTGAGGATGGTGAAATTAGGGGGGAGGAAAGCAGGGAAAAACACTGCTTTTAAAGTATGCCAAGGGACCTACTGTGCCCATAACAGTGAGCTCTTTTCCACAGCCACAAGCAGCTGAAAGACAATGGATTCAATAGATTGCAACCAACAGGGTTGAAAGCACCATGAGGAAGAACTTTCTGTTATGGGCCATGGACTGGAACCTATTTCCATAGGAGGTCATAACCTCCCCTTTCCTTGGATATTTTTAAGGGGAGAGTAAACAATGTTGTTTAACAAGGGCTTGGGTGTAGTCTTGTCAAGAAATAGATGGGCTACTGGGCTTCCCAAGAGTTCCCCAAAATGACAAAAACCATACTTGCCAGCCCCCCATCCTTTATGAATTGTTCGTTCTCTTTCTCTCTCCCCTTCTAGCCCAACCCATTGTCTCTAGGACACCAAAGAATGAATGACTTGTACTAAACACATTGTGGTTGGGGACTTCCTCCACAAATGGGATGGAGGGGAGTGTCCCAGGTGAGAACATGGTGGAGAAGGGATGAAACTGGTGCCAAAGAATAGGATCCCTCCTAACCTTCTACCTTGGGCTGTGGCTCAGAGGCAGGGGCCTTAGGCACTGGGTGGAAGTATATACAAAAGGCACCCTGTGTAGGTGAGGTTGTAAAGAAAGAAAATTGGTTTTAGAAGTGTAACCCACTTTCCTCTCATGTACATCTCTTATAGGACCATAGTTCTAAAGCTGGAAGTGGGTGGGCCACATACTCTAAATGACCCATTTTATAGACGGGCAGATGAAGGCTCAAGGACATGAACTGTCCAAGGTCTTTGATTTCCATAGCCCTTGTTCTCCCCCATTGTAGCACTTGGTTCCCCCTCCAGTCAAAATCCACGCCCACTGCTTCTGCCACAGGCATTTCTGAGGCCATAACAGTTTATACCACCCAAGCATGGACCTAGAGGAAAGAGCCCTCTTCAGAATCTACCTTCTGTGACCTTCCTTAAAAGCAAGGTCTTAGCTGCATGTGGCATTCCATTCTCCTCATTGCCAATGTGATAGGCTAGGAATGGTGATTTTTCTGCAAGGTCTTGCACAGGAAGGCAATTGCTAAGATACCAGTCCCAGCCATGTTCTTAGGGCACCAAATAATATGGCTTCTTTGTGAAGTTATAATGGGATTTGAGCTCTAGTTTGAAAAGTCAGTTTGGCTACTGGACCAACTTAAATTAATCACTGTAGTCTGTTCACAGCCCAGAGACCAAAAACAAGGCACAGCTTGTAAAAGTATGAGGCTGGATAAGAAATTCTCTTTGCCTTCATTTCAAAGACCAAAGTAATCAGAAGACTAGAGCTGGGGCTCTCAGAGACCTCAATGATTTGGTTTGTTTGTAAAGCAGGATCACACCCACACTCTCTAAAGCTTACCCATTTTTTCTCTTTAGAAACACCCATTATTGCCAGAGAAGTCACAGCCTGTCACAGAATGTCCCAACTGACAGTCCCTGAACAGAAAAATTTTACTCCCATGGCTCTCAATCCTGTCTTTTGCTATGTGAGTCGGCTGTCTTACACCTCTAGGTATGTTCACAACAGAAAAGCACATACCACACAGACTACTTCTTGTTCAGCTTGGCTCGTGACCTGCAGCACTGCCTCTCTTAAAGTAACTCACAGCAAGAAGGGTTCTGGTAACCACTGCCCCATCCCATCAAACCTGCCCTGCCTCCTGAATGCTAAATTCAGGACTTGTGGGGGTGGGAAGGGAAGAGTAAGAGACAGGGGAGTGGAAAAGGATCACATACCGCCCCTCGCCCCATTGCCAACAGGACACTGAAGTTATCTACACAAAGCCTAGACAATAAATCGTCCTAGTCCCACTAACCAGTAACAGTACTTTGATCAAAGCAGCTTTAAGTACAATATGGAAAATATGGGAAAGTTTGTGTTATATCCTAAATGCTTAATATTACTAACTCCAAAATATAAATAGACTTGACAGGTACATTCCTATACTGGAAGATCCATCAGTAAATGTCACTACTTTGCTTGGGGGCAATCCTTTAGGGGAATGAACATCTCCAAATTAAGCTAGTCTGGTCCTCAGAAAAATTAGTTGCTCATCGCGGAAACACTTCTGGCTTGGAACCAGCAGCTGGAGTTTCTCTTCTGCCAGCACAACTTTGAAGAGTCAGTGTCTCCTTCATTCCACAATGAGGAGTAAATGAGAAATACAAGTAGCCTTTAGTGGAGGAAGCCAGATAGCTAAGACTTTATAAATATAAAGCACATATATATATATAACTTATTTTGAGAACCTCCTCTAATTTGAAACCACAGCCATTTTGATGTTATAACAAGCTGTCTCTTGTTAATGTTTTAATAGTCTATTACTGTACAGGCAAGTCACTTCCTTAAGTTAATTTGTTCATTTTATAAAATGGGGATAATATTTGCAACAATCTGGAGGTTTATTGTGCAGATCATATGTAAAAGACTTGCTCAAGCCTTAAAGCATTACATAAAATGTGAGCTATTAAAGCCATTTCCATCACTATGACCCTAGATTTTACAAAATTAAAATCCCTATGGCTAGCATCTAATCCTCTTGGATTTCTTGAATAATGAACAGTATTTGACATAGTTGGCAAATTCTACAATTAGTGGTTTTAGCAAAAAAAGAAATGGAAGAAATCTTTTTTAATACACTACTAAGACACACCACTAATCATGTTGTACAAGATTAAAGGCTAGCTTCTCAGTATTACTGTCCCCCTCACCCAATAAAGTATGGGGGCTCCTGAAGATGAGATCCAAGTTACTGTAGCTGTGTTAATAGAATGGAGTCATGTGATTTAAAAAAACAACTAGCTTTTTAGCCTTATAACCATCTCGCTTTTTAAAGCTATATGCACTGTGCCCACATGTCTCTAAACATGAGGAAGCTCCATGCCACTTGGGTGGGCTTATGCAAACTGCTGGGTTGTTGGCAGACTGGCTTCGATATCTGGCACAAGACAACAAAAGGTAACAGAGGCTAAAACAGTAGCAGCATTACACCCTAATCACTAGCACTAACCCCATTAACTACTGTTCTTGTGGAAGGAAAAGAGATTCCATGAAGACCTTCAAAGCTAAGCCTTTTGCTTTCCCCTACAACAACGCACGTGTGTACAATTATATGATCCATTCTGGGCTCTCCAATTCTATCTTCACTCAGATGGTCGTTTAACTCCATTTTAGTTACAACTAAGTTTTGGACAATCCATTCTCTGAAGCACATTTGTGTTTTCCTTGGAATAAAAAGGGTAAACTTAGCACTTAGGTTAACCATTCAGACAGGTTAAAAATGATGTATGTGAGCTATTTATTGGAGCAAAAAGGGTGTTCCTCTAAAGAAACAAAGTGACACAATAGAATGAATTAAAAGTTTTCTTTAATTCTGAACCATTAATATAACTGCATTTTGTCTTGGAAGCATCTGTATCACAGCAGGTTACAACAACTTTGGGATAAAAGGCAACTGGTAAACTGT